AAAAAAAAAAGACTCCTGAGTCAGGCGTGGTGGTGCGCCTGTAGTACCAACTACTCAAGAGGCTGAAGAGAGGATCCCTAGAGCCCAGGAGTTTGAGGCTGCAGTGAGCTATGACTGCGCCACTGCAGAGAGTAAAACCCTGGGGCGAGAGAAAGATACAGAGACACTCCTGAAACATGGCAAATTTCCTCAGTAGTTGAAAATATTAACTAAAGAAAAACAAACAAACAAAAAACAGAACACTGGAAGGGAAGAGAGAGTAAGTGAACTAGAAGAAAGGAAAGGGGACACATCTCACTGGAAGGAGGTCTTGGAAGAGGAGAGAAGATATTGGCAGCCTTCACTTAATTTGAAATACCTTACAGGTGGGTATCTGTGCACAGTTAAAAAAAATTTTTTTTTTAATTTTTAGAGTTGGAGTCTCACTCGGTCGCCCAGACTGGAGTGCAGCAGCCGCTCCCGGCCACCGCAGCCTCGACCTGCTGGGCTCTGGCGATCCTTCCGCCTCAGCCTTTCGAGTAGCTGGAATTACAGGCGCACGCTACCACGCCCGGCTGATTTTTTGATTTATTGTAGAGATGAAGTTTTGCTGCCCAGGCGGGTCTCGAACCCGTGGACTCAGGCAATCCACTCACCTCAGCCTCCCAAAGGCACGGGATTACAGGCTGAGCCACCGAGCCCGGCTTGTTTTTTATTTTTATTTTTATTTTTTGTGTTGGAGTCTCACTGTATCGCCCAGACTGGAGTGCAGCGGCCGCTCCCAGCCACCGCAGCCTCGACCTGCTGGGCTCTGGCGATCCTTCCGCCTCAGCCTTCCAAGTAGCTGGAACTACAGGCGCGCTACCACACCCGGCTGATTTTTTGGTTTATTGTAGAGATGAGGTCTCACCAAGTTGCCCAGGCGGGTCTCGAACCCGCGGGCTCAGGCAATCCACTCACCTCAGCCTCCCAAGGCGTGGGATTACAGGCTGAGCCACCGAGCCCGGCTTTGTGCACAGTTTTGTCTGACTCTGGAGTGTTGCCTTTCCCTCTGACTTGGTAAGGGGTGGGGGTGGGAGTGTTGCCCCTTCCCGCAGTGTTGCTGCTAGACCTTCTGAGAAGGAAGTGCAGAGCTCCAGGAAACAGTGCCCAGGGAGTGCTGGTGCCCGGGGAGTGCTATGCTGAGTCCACGGGCCTGGTCCTGGCAGGGGTGAACAGATCGTGGCAGAGAAGTCAGGGTGACTGTTACTCCAGACTTGACTAAAGGAAAAGGGGAGCATCCATCCTGCCTTCCTTCCCACCCTCGATTTCCTCCAGAGGCCCCTAGAGCCTGGAGGCTATTGGTCACTGCCCCTTTAAGCGCCGCCACTCCTCCCCCGAGAGCGGTGGCACCAAGAGGGAGGGCGAGGCCGAGCGGTCTCGCCCCGGTCAACGGGGGAAGATGGCCCAGGCTGGGGAAGTCGCTCCCACACCCCTCCCCTAAACCGAGCCATCTGGGAGACCCCTACCTCGGTCCCTCCCGCCCCGCGCGCGACGCGGGGATGGCTCCGTGGCCTCACGGGAACAGCTCTCTGGCCTCGTTGCCGGGCGCCCCCACCCTGGCGCCCAGTTCCGCCAACGCGAGTGGGCTGCCGGGAGTGCCGTGGGCGGCAGCCCTGGCCGGGGCGCTGTTGGCGCTGGCGGTGCTGGCCACCGTGGGAGGCAACCTGCTGGTCATCGTGGCCATCGCCCGCACGCCGAGACTCCAGACCATGACCAACGTGTTCGTAACTTCGCTGGCCGCCGCCGACCTGGTGGTGGGGCTCCTGGTGGTGCCGCCGGGGGCCACCTTGGCGCTAACCGGCCACTGGCCACTGGGCGCCACTGGTTGCGAGCTGTGGACCTCGG